GGTGACATCTTTGGGGATTATCTGGCGACATCCTGCTTACTCTTGTCACAAGATGGATGCTTTGTTTGGTTTTTCATTCTTAGATCATTATCACTTGTTTTCCACCCTCCAGAAAGGAACATCAGTTAATCTTAAACCTTTTTGTAGAGACTAGAATGGGAGGGAAAAATCATGAGACAATGTGGCGGTTAGCAATGGAGAGTAAATAATAGTGAGCCGGGTCTATGCAGCCTCTTCCAACATCACCCCCTCCGTGTTCATAGTCAATCCAGAACTTTAGAAGAAGGTAGGTAATATCTATTTCTGAGTAGTTTCCTCTGAATTCGTCTATCAAAAATGAATTTTTCCCTACAGGAAAAATGGTAATACTGGGTCTGGAACTCATGGCTAAATTTTATCTATACAGTTTTGGCAACATCTTAAAGGAGAAATGATTCTTGAAGAATACATTATATCCTTGACTTGTTGATCCTTGATCTTGAAAAGTGCTCTTGAAAGTGTTGATCTTGTCACTATTTTGTATTCCTTTTGAGAAAAATCAAGGAAATAAAACTATGTTTTATTTAATTAAAAAAAATTCTCTTCTTAACCTTCTGTTGATCATTCGAAGAAAAATCTTGTTATAATACTTCTGTCAAGAAACAAAGCCATTCTAGATATAGACCACACATGTAGACCACTCTTTATGTGCATCTTCTCATTTAATCCTCATGATAAGAGATAAGGTAATTTCTATAATAGTGGCTTTACATCATTATTCTGAATTTGAAGAAGAGAGTGAGAAGGAAATATAATTGTACTGCTATATAGACTTGAAGACCAGATACCTGCAGATGCTTGCTGGACAGATCTGATAGGTTCTTAGAATTCTAGAGCTGGACGAGAGCTTAATGATCATCTAACACAATGTTTGTAAAACCTTTTTTGACCACAACATGTAATAAACTCTGATATTTTATATATATATATATATATTTTTTTTTTTTGCAAAAAATGTTGACTGAGATCCTTAAACTGACCTGCAGTTTGAAAAACACTGATCTAGTCCAGCCCTCCTATTGGACAGCTAAGGAAACAGAGTTATAAAGAGTTCAAGTGACTGGAGGCATGCATCTGATTACTAGAGCATAATGGTCTGAAGTCCAGTTTTCCGAAGACCCCAACCATATTTTTTTTAAAACTAAAAATACATTTAATTATACAAGTGTACATAAGCCAGTGTTCTTCCCATTGTCACACCTCTTCTTCTATACTTATTTATCATAGATCTTTTCTTTAATTAGAAATTATATACATGAAAATTAGGATAATGGAAAATTTAAATTATGAATAAAGTAATATGGTCTCTTTTCTTTAGAGGAACGCCTACACGAATGTTTCTACACCACTCCATAACGGAGTCTATGAATTATGATGTGAAAACGTTTGGATCTTCTCTCCCTGTTAAAATTATGGAAGCCCTAACATTGGCTGAAGGTAGGTCTCATCTTTCCATTTGCCTCTATTAGCAATTCAACATGAAGCCTAGGTCTGACTTGGTGATCAAAATTTATGCATTCCCTAGTTTTCGTACACCTAAATGGAGAGAAACAGGTAGCCTATCTAGTTTTTCACTATCATTGAGAAACATAATAAATTTGAGAAGCAGAATGAGTTCATTCTATTTTTTTTTATTGTACTTTAGATGAAGGTTTACAGAACAAATAGTTTCTGATTGAACAGTCAGTACACATATTGTTTTATGACATTGGTT